TGACATGAGCTAACCTTTTAAAATCACTCGTTGTGGTTATTCATCAACAAGCACAGCTCGGAGGTGAAATGTGATAAAGACTCAAGGCGGCAGTGTCAGGATACAAAGGTGGCGCTAGCTGAAGTGTGTTAGAGGGAGAATGATGGCACATTTATAGGTGGTCTCTATGATTATTTATTATTGAGATGGCAGGAGAGTTGAACGAGTGAAGCCACTAATCTAACTCTGAGCCTGATGGACAGAACGCAATTACCCAAAGAGAGGAGAAGGTGGAAGAAGAGGAGCAGGAGCCAGCGCCCCTTTTCCTTTCTCTTTCTTTTTTCCTTTCTCCAGTCGTCTGGCATGCACTCCTATAGCTGCAGATGATTTCTGGGCACTAAGCTCCTGTTGGCAGCATCTTGTTTATGGAGTCACACACACACACACACACAGAAGTGTGCAGCAGCACGCACACGCATACACACACACACATGGATCTTCACATCACCCACTCTTGCCTGTTGGCAGCGCACCAGTTTCGGACGTCCAATTTATCGCTCACTCCTCTCTCCTCCTCTCCTCCCCTCTGCGCCTCACTGGTGTGGCTTCGGATTGCCGTCTAAATCCAGACCCACTAAGCCGCGTTCACATGCTGCTCTGCTGCTACATTTAGCCCACCAGCCAATTCCGGGTCAAACCAACGCTTCGCTTTCTGATGGTGCGGATTTTTCTATCGGTTTACTTTAAAAACAGAGAAACTGCCAAGCTGCATCTTAATGGAGGCTTTTCTTCTTCCTCTTCTTCTTAAAAATGAAAGAAATGAGCATTTTCTTCCTGTAAAGGTGACTCCTCCTCTAAATGTGTCCAGAAAACTAAACATTGCCCACTTAAAGCACTGAATTTAGTATAATCTGCCTAACTGTCAATCTGAAACACAAACCTCATATGTATTAACTTTGGTTTAGTCTGAAGGTGCAAGTGGATCTTTCTGAACATAGGCAGCGATGGGGCTGGGTGGCCTTTCATTAACCCTATAAAGGGTCATTTTAGCACATTCTGGCTCAAGGAAGTGAGTTAAAAATAAGGAAAACTTGCAAAATATCCCTTTAAAACTATATTTTTAAAAGAAAATCTAAACTGTACGTATTTCGACGGGCACGACACTGGGTTTATGTTTACATCTACCAGCCAATAGAGGGCACCATTGCGGTAAAAAGTCCGCTCGGCAAGACGAGGCTGGTGATGTCGAGGCACCTGGCCTCGCACTTGCGAGGCCATGCTTACGAGGACGCTGTCCATCCTTGGTCAAAGAAACCGGTTAAATGGAACAAACTTGCATCACGTGGCCGCGGCTCCCATATTCAACCTTTACTCGAGTGTTTGAACTGTGTTTTATTCGTGCTGAAACATGTTTTAGATGTTTTTGTTGTGTTTTTTGTATTTGAAGAATAAATTTGGTTGAGATTTTCCCCCCCAGAGTTACCCAACTGAGACCATTCCCAGACTTTGGGTCTCCTGGTGCTGTTTAGGCGCTACCAGACTGGTTTCCTTAAACTCCACATGCTGCCCGACAGACTTCACAGCTGCAAGGAGGACATGCAGAGAACATCAGTGGACGAGTGGAGAAGGAGGGGCAGATGGGGACTTGTTCAGGGTTAGAGCTGAAGCTGTTCCAACTCCATCCTGGCTGTTCTGATTTGACTTCCTCTTCCCTCCCCCTTTTACCCCCTTTGCTCATTATCTTTCTCACTCACTCCATGCTCTCTTACTCCTCATTTTATTTCCACTCTGTTCATTTCTCTTCCCTCTAACCCCTCTCTCTTCATCCTCCCTCTCTCTCTCCATCCATTTGGTGGAACAGTGCTGCTGATAATGCCTGTAATTGGAGTGACTCACACTTTTCCAGTGTGTTTGGACCAGATAAAGAATATTGTCAGCATTTTGCCGACATGGCCTCTGCTGGCAGAATTAAATGGACTCTGTTCTGTTCTGTCTGCAGCAAATTAAAAGCCTCTCAATTCATCTGTTCTCGCCCGCGGCTTACAGGGGCCTCCTATTCACGCTGAAACACCGTGTAGAGGGGGAGGAAGAGGAGAATGAGACAGAGTTCCCCTCTTCCCTGAGAAACACCAGTTTTTGGGTGTTTTTTAAGACTACACTTAGCTGGTGCTAGTTGGGGAAAAAGAAGGAAGAAGAGAAGTCTGGGCTGGAAACTGGAGATGAGCAGCTCTGGGTGCAGGCAGGTTCATTATGTAGCATGTCACCTTGTCGCTGCCGCCTGTCTTTGTTCTTCAGTATCTCAGAGTAAGAAAGAAGCTTTTCTTCAAGTGCGTGTGCTTGTAAGTGTGCGCATCTGTGTGCATTCACACAATAGCACTGAGTGTGAATTTGAGTGTTTTCGGCTGTGAAGTTATGTAGTCGCTGCCTTTCGACACTTCAGATTAGTAGTCAGCGGATGGGCTTAAAGGGACAGAACGCCAGAGGCTGGAGGGGCCCTTCAGGCACCGGCGAGGCTCACACAGCGCAACTGGTGTTAGTGTAACACTAAAACCTGGATTTTAGTAGCTTTGGACGTAGCAATAAAGCTGGTGGTCCATAGAGGGAGCTGAAGATTAATTTCTCTAAATATGCCTATGTAGTAATTTTTCTGTTATTGTTATTGAAAAAACAGCCACAGAATCATGTTCAGTTCTATAATACTGACTGTATTCCTGAAGAACATTTAAAATCCTAAATCTTCAAAAATATGTGTTACCTTGATGGGATAACAGCTTTTTGTAGCAAATTTAGACACGCACCTAATATTTCATAAAACGTCTCAGAGGTTGGCCTGGTTGGTGAAGTGTTTTGAATAAATTATGTGAGATATGCTAATGCACTAATTCACTCATGCATTTATTCAGCAGGAATAACTACGAGTTCATCATTTGCACTGCAGTGACATCAGGTGTAGAAATGCAGCGTTATCCGTAGTGACGGCAGATTATGCAGTGTGTTTTATTTAAACAGGAGGCAGTGGCAGATGCACACTACCTTAGGTGCTAACAGCTGCTAGTAACACTAACATATCACCACAGCTCCCAACATACATGTGATGTAATTCACCAACTCACAGTAAAGTCACGGTTACAGAAGAAAAACTGGAGATAACTGTCAAGTAAAAATGTCTGTAGTTGTAATTGCTTTATTTTATTTTTCATGAATGCTCGCAATGTTCAGACATGAAGGCCCAATCCCAATACTCGCACTGTGCCCTGTGGTCTTCTGTGAAGTGCACTTGGAGTGTGCATTAAGGCTTCGAGTGTGTGGTACACACGTGTTCCAATACTTGCCATGTTGGCTCAAGGAGCATTGCGTCATTGACCGCAAAGCATGCTGGGATGCTGGTTGCTGTGATACTTTTAAAATATGTATTTATTAACAACTTTCAAACAAACAACCAAACAATTATTTGACAAAATTCACATTCATTGCTGTCCACGTTACATCTTTGTCTGAAACATTCATAACATCAGTTAATCAGTTTAATTTTCTTTTGTTCTTCATTATAGAGTTAAAAGGTTTGTTGTTACCTTTGCTGACATGTTTTGATGTTTCACTGCCGCCGTGGTCAGAGCAACCGCCGGATGCTGGTGGCATCACTTCCTTTTTTCCACGGGCAGCGGTGGACGATAGCGCCCTCTGCTGCCTGTGCCTTCTCCGCTGATCACCGTGTCCCATGAGTGGTCCAGGGTGTAAACTCCTTCGTCCCCATTCATGGTTCTAGGTCCATGTCTCCTTATCACAATTACTTCTCTAATCTATCTTATCTGTGTTTATGATCTGGTGCAGGCAGCAGAGGGCGATATTGTCCACTGCTGCCTGCGGATAAAAGGAAGTGATGCCATCAACATCCGGCGGTAGCTCTGACGAAGGCGGTAGTGAAACGTTGAAACATGTCAGCAAAGGTAACAACAACCCCTTTTAACTCTGTGTATAATGAACAAAATGAATTAGTTAGTCGTCCTCAAATAAACTACTTTCATTAAAAAAGACATGTTCAGAAAAGGCACATGAGCCTTTTCTCCCACAGCAGTGCATAGTGGGTAATACCCTTAACCCAAATCCGTGTCGATGCGGACTTCAGTGAAGGGGTGAAGGGCGGATCAACACCCTACACACTCGCACTCCTGAACGGGATCGCACAGTTGGAGGGCATGGGTGTGGAAGTGCGAGTAATGGGATTGGGTCACAGTCAGTCAAAGGCAGTCCTGGTCCTGGAGTGGTTCAGCTCCAACACACCTGGTTGATTCACCTGTTCACCAAGTTATCAAGCTCTGCAGAAGCTTACCTTCTGATCTAAATGAGCTGTGTTGGAACAGGGAAAAAACTAAACCTACTCCAGAACCAGCACTGCCTTCCCCTGATCTAATCTAACATCATGCACCCCTACGTGGGAACGTGACAGTTCTGTTAGATTATCTCTGATATCATCATGCAGGTGAATAATAAATATAATGATCACACTCACGATTATCTAATGCTTAAATGATTAGCTACTAATTAAGACTGACCTCGTGAGCACACAGCTTTCACTTCAGCTCGTCTTTGTTGCATCTGCAAATGAAAGGTTTAGTTGATCATTCTCAACCTGTTTGATCTTCTAGATGGATTTGGGTTGTTTATCTGAAAAATTTGAATGTAAAACCAGTGTTATTGTTTTTAAAACATCAAGGCTCACTTGGCATTGGGTGTAAATGTTAATCATTACTCAATTAGATGTTTGCTGCATAAACCAAGAGAAGCACACTGGAGAGAAGGACTGTTCTTCAGCAAACGTCTTCCCTGAGCCACATTATTGACAGAAAGCACAAAGTGCGGTGCAGGCCTCTCTAGTCCGTTACCATGGGCAACATCTACTCAAGGCAGATCAGAAACAAGCTCATTCTCGTGCCTGCTGATAACCCTCGCTTGTCTGCAAAGAGCAAGCGTAACCTGACTAAATCCACCTATTTCTTTTTCTTCCCAAACTTCTTCCCCAGATCTCTCTGGGTGTGTGTGGGATGTTGTGTCAGGGCTGAAACCCATCCCTCTCCCATGAGCCTGTGTGCCCACGCACACACACGGCGCCTCGACGCACACACTCGGCGCCCACGCACACACAGCCGGCACTGACGCTGTGAACTGGACCCTCGGAGCCCAGCGGATCCCAGCCGAGCCAAGAGGAGCCGAGTCTAGTCCACTTGGAGCCTGAGGATGTCAACAGAGACAGAACTGCAGCCAGCGGTCAGGCCCAGCAGCGTGAGACGGGACTCCAAGAGGAAAGGTAGGCGCGGCGGTGGTGGAAAAGTTACTCTGAGAACTTTAGTTTGCTCCGAGTTTTAGTAAAGATCTTAACTCCTCTGTTCACCTCTTGCATGACCCAAGAGATTCTGTGATTGCAGCAGGTTTTAGGAAAAGAGAAGAGCAGAGGTATCATGAGTCAGTGCATCACAGTACTCTGACTTTGCAATAGTTCTATAAAGTCAATTAGGCAAGGTGTTATTTAAAGAGCAAGTCACCCCCAAATCAACAATTTTCTTCTGATAAACTATATAAATGCGTGTCTAATCGTGCTGCAGACACGTGTCGTCAATAGTTTTTCACTTTAGTGCATTTTAGTTATCATTTAAATTTTCTGCCTGAAACTGTCAGTGTTGTGCCGTTGTCAGGTAAAAACTCTTCACTGCATTTGAATTTAAATCTGCCACCGCTATTGGCTAAGAGGTATGCTATGATGTAAACTGGTACATTATGATGTCACAATGTCGTGAGTGTGTGTATTTGTTAGCGGCGCCACCCTCTCGGTCTGCTAGGCAACAGCATTTGTTGCATTTTTCAAACATGAAGTGGGAGTGGAGTACGCTTCTTGTAAGGGGTGACTTGCTCTTTAAAGAGATATTTCCGTTTTGAGGTGTGCTTCTGTGTAAAAGCCTATTCCCACATTACCTGCTGAATGGCTTCAGTCTGGAGAGATGATGTTAAAGTTGACCTGTCCAGAGCGCCCCCCACCTCTGCTGGAGACGCCAGGCCCCCCCTGTGATCCCACTCAGAATTAGACTTATAGAAAGTGAGAGTTTATGTCCCTGTTCCATGAGGTTATTTTTCATATAATTCTGTTTAGGGCTGCACAATATATCGCAAATAAATCGTTATCGCGATATCAGCGCGCGCAATATGCATATCGCAAAGAACAGGTAAATATCGCACTGAATGGTCAGCTCAAATGTTTGCTACACATAATGCATTCGGTCAATCAGACGGAAGCATGATGTTTTTTAACAAATCAAATGGAACTCTTCGCCCATTTGGCCAATCGGGTGGGTTCTCATAGGTTAGATGCTCGGGGCGGGCGGCTCTTAATTTTGATGGTTAGCAAACACCTGAGTTAGCTTTGTTCTGCTCCCAGGATCCACTGATTCCTGTTCCTGTTCATTTTCTTTTTCCCTTTCCTCATATCTTTTGCTTTTCTCATTTTGAAGATTTTTTTGACATTTTTTTATTTCTTTGTTTTTGATTATTTTTGTTCTTGAGTTAAGTTTTTAGTTATCGCAAGTAATATTGTCATCGCAATATTAATCACTGTTATGAAATATGGCAGGTTTTCCTAAAATCGTGCAGCCCTAGTTCTGTTGAACGGTTAAAAAGCAATGTCAGACTTTTATTGGTTACATTTAATAGAACTTTTATTTCTTACTACTTTTGTCAGATTCAAGTCATTTCTGTGACCGTTGAGGGTTTTTCATTCATTGACTGAAGGGTACCAACAACTTTATTTTTACTTGTCCCATGCATAGCTGGTGTGTCTTCTCTAACTTTTTAAACACCGTCACAAAATGCATGGGAGTTTAGACTTTGCAAGGGCTGAACGTGCATATTCATAAGGCACGATCATATAAAAGCATGATTGCAATGCAGCATGTTACAAAATATTTCTGTCAATTATGTTGTTTTGTGATAGCCAGGACCAAATTTGATTACTTTCACCATTCTAGTTTTCTGTTTTGTATCTCGATAATGAGTAGGTGCAGGTTTGTGTAACCGGGTTGGATGCCAGCCTTCTTGTGTTCACAGAAACCCAACAGATGTAGGGGTGCCATGGTACCATGGTACCGACCAGACTGGTGCAGGAATGCTGTGCTCAGTGAAAACCAGTTGTGAAAACCTCCAGATGCAGGTAGCCAGCAGGTGTAAAGGAGCCAGTCTGGTTGGTGTCAGTTCGGAGGTGAAGCCTCCCTGCTGCATGGAGCCACCTGCCCGTCTGTGAAACTGACGCCAAACATCCTCTGAGTAAGCACCTGATTGATGTCAGGAAAGATGCGGACGCTGTCGGTGTTGACACTTATTAGATGCGCGCAGCCGCATGGAAACCCACACGCTCACTATCACCTGCAGCAGATGCCTCATTGCACATGATGCGTGCGTCCCTGCAGACAAGCACAGGTCCTCCTCTACATGGTGTGTGTGTGAGGGAACACTCGGTACCACTCATGTCGTATTTAGAACAAGTATTGTTCTACTGCAATGAAGATCATGTTCATCATTCAGTCTGCTCTCCATATTTGGAAGACACACACACACACACACACACACACACACACACACACACACACACACACACACACACACACACACACACACACACTGGTACTGGGATTGAAGCCGAGAAGAGCATATGAGAGAGAAGATGAATGGTTTGCTCTCAGCTTTGAGACTTGGGGGTTTTATTCTTTCTGTCTTTCTGTTTCCCTTGCACGCGCACACACAGGCATGCACACACATCTACACACACACACACACACACTTCACCTTTTCACTTGTCTTTACTTGTATCAGGTGTGCTTTGGTCGGGGGAGGGGTTTGTACAAACTGAAGGTAGAATTTGCTCAGCTACAAAGCCATGGAGCTTCGTTCACACATGATGTATTCATCTTTCCTCTGATCTGGGTCAGTCTTCCCAGAAGACGCACTCACTTACACGCAATCACTTGGAGTTGGGTGATGAAAGTCAAACGCAATCATGTACCACACACAAGCATCGAACGTGCTCTTGTGTGGGAATATGAAACTTTGTTGGATCTTTTGCGTGTGGGATAGGGATGTGTACCTTTGACATGTGAATCGATTCGGTACTAATTCCCGGTACCTAGGAATCGATACCGGTACTTAACGGTACCAGTTTTCGATACTTTTGAGTGTTTATTATTTTAATTCTCTTTTATAATTAAATATATACTTTTCTCAATATATAACACTAAAATAATAAATATCACGATAAATAACATACAACTGTTTGTATTTTAACATCGCCCTTGTAGTTTTATAAGCTGATAATTAAACTGAATCAAACATCTTTACTGTGAACTAAATTTACTGTGTATCTTCATTCCTTTTACCGTCCTTTTTTCTTTTGATTTTTCCTACTGGGAAGTTAGAATTTCCGAGGAGAAAGCGAACGCACCATTAGCTGATAACAATGGTGGCAATGGAAGCTAACATATCAAGCTAACGTTATCTTAAACAGTTTATTTAGCTGCTGGAGCAGATTAAAACGATGATGCCTCACACTTAGATCGTTGTCACTGGTTTCATCTTCACCCAATCACCTGTCGCGTTTAGTAAAGTGAAGCCAAACTTTAGAGCGCGTTCATGTTCTTCTAGTCGGGAATTCGGAGTTCCGAGGAGAAAGCGAACGCACCATTAGCGGAATGGAAGCTAACCTGAAGCTAACATATCAAGCTAACGTTATCTTAAACATTTTATTTAGCTGCCGGAGCAGATTAAGATGAGGATGTCTCACTTAGATCGTTGTAGCTGGTTTCATCATCACCCAGTTACCCATCACATTTAGTGAAGTGGACCCAAGCTTTAGCGTGCGTTCTTTCTACCGTGCTGCTCTGGTTACAACTGGCTCGCAGCGACCGATGACATAACGCTCTTGCGCATGCGCAGCTGTCTTGGCAAGTTCTCGTTGTGAATGACGGGTACCGAAACGAGGCACCGTTTCAAATGACGTGAATCGGTGCTCGGATGGTACTGTGGAATTCGGTCGGTACCTTAAAAAGTACCAAATTCAGTACCCATCCTGGGTTTTTTTTTTGTTTTACACACACACACACACACACACACACACACACACACACACACACACACACACTCATTCCTAGCCAGCTGTCTCACTGGAGTAGCTGAATTTAAATGAAAATAGACCTTCTGAATCGTTGATTGTCATTAGGATATAAATGGTTGCTTTACTGTTGTGCAGGGTAGCCCACTCCCTCTTCAGATATCCCACTCCTCCCACGCATCAGACTCTTCCATGACCTTGTCCTGGATAAGTGAGAACAGGAGCAGTGAAGGATCATGGAGAAACGACTGATGAGACAGTCCGGATAGGAGCGTTTTAATCTCAGCCTTTTGTTTCACAGTCCCTTGGATGAAGAAATCTGTACGACTGCGATGTGTCACGCATTAATCACTAAGGTCACCCGCTATATGTTCACCACTTCTGTGTGCTTGTGTGATCTTTTTTTCTCTCAATTATATTTCATTTGTGATCTCCATAACCCCTTTTTTCAAGACAAATCCAGTCACTGAAAAGGTTGAGATAACCTTTGAACTTTAGCATTTACATGACCTGAATAACTGCTGCTTTTGATCACAATGAGGTCTGCAGTCCGTCTCGCTGATCCGATGGGATCCTAATTAATTCTTGACAAAGCCCAGTGGGTTACACAGTTTAACCTCCTTTCTAAAGGGACGGTGTACATCAAAATTTAAAAAATTGAAATATAAATTCACCAGAATTAGTCCAAGGCTGAGAAGTCTCCACAGTTCAAAAACAGCATCAATAAATAAAGTTACCAGAATATTTAAAGAAGAAGAAATGAAGTTTTACCAACTGAGGATTTTTTTTCCTATAAAGATGAAAACTAAGTTTTTTATTTTGTTAAAAATGCTTCCAGTCTGCTTTTAAGAGTTGATGTTGCTTGTACACATTCCAATACTTATTCATCGCAAAGAACTAGAATAAACCAAAACTGTTTTTATATATTTGAGTAGCATGAATTAATTATGAATTTACCAAAACAAAGATGTATTGTTAGTGTGAAGATGTGGAATTCAGACGAGTAGGATAAAGATTCTTTATTGTTCCTTGGCAATGGAGTGTTGCTGAAGAAAGTCTACATTTTTCTTTTATAAATCTGTAAAACAATCATCTGAAGATGGTTTCATCAGAGCATCAGTCATAACACAGGTCATCTTTAAGTGCTGTTGAAAGCAACA